AAATATAATATTGTTGTTGGCACCAGAAATTGTTATAAATTATAGTTAAATTATAATAATTGATTGCATTTTTTCTCTCAGTGTATCCTTCCAGAAATACCTTGAATTTATTGGCTCAGTGCAAAAGTTCTGGCTCGAGTCCAAAAAAGTTTATATGTAAATTCAGAACGCAATATTTCACTCAAATTGGTAATTATACTATTCGATAGAGCGAATGTTTCAGCTTTAAGAATCTGTTCTTTTATAGTCACGGCACGATTATTTTTAACGAAATTATGAGCGATCAAAGTCAAAATGTTCTTCTTATTTAATCCGCGATAACTCTGTAACAAAAAATTCTAGGAACTTTTTCAAAACGATTTTATAGGGAAAACTTTAAGCTTTAACTTTAGAAAGTCGAAAATTTTCGGAAGTTCTTTTCGGGTACGTGACAGGCTCGCAAAATGAGAAAGAAATTTACTATTTTGTCCAGCTCGCAATTTTTTATATGTACAAATTATCAAACTCACAGAAAGTCAAAAAACATAGTGACCTTTCGAAAGTAGAGATTTGAAGCTTCAAAAAACTTTTTTAAATTTACATTTCGTTTAATTTTAACGAAGTTGCAACTGCTTGAATTTTGAATAATAAATCGGGTCAGAACTTTTGCACTACTGACTCGATATAACAGAGTTAATAACCCAACAGGGAAAAAAGCGATTTTGCTAAAGTATCAGTTACATACAGATCTGAAAATAATTTCGTTGGATCATCAAAATAATTATGTAGGATCTTCAAGCATAATGAGCAATGCTGCAAGAAGTGTTGAGATTCTAGCAACCAATTTGAACGACCTGTATAATTATTTTAATCCAACGAAATTATTTTCAGATCTGTATGTAACTAAACCTTTATGCGTCAGCAAAACCGTTTTTTCCGTAAATTCTTTTGACATTTCGACGCTTTCGTTAAAAAATTAACGACTTCATCGTTAGAAGTAAAGTCGTAAAAGCGAAGTATTCGTTTGATCGATTTGACGATCAGAATTCGCTTATCGTACGGACGGAAAAGCTTTGAGTCTTCTCATGAAACGGCATGCGAGAAAAAATCCCGAGGAACACACCAATTCAAGAGAATGTCAAAATGATTTATTTTGACGTTATGAAAGCCAAAATGATGATTATTTTTGTTATAAAATTGTTTATTGACGTTAAGAATAAAAATAAGGTCATTTTGATTTTTTGTTGACTTTTGTGTGTTCCTTGGGAAGAAGTCTCGATCCTCTCGATGGCTGCAAGAAGAAGATTCATGTAACTTTTCGCCTCTGACGTCATAATTCGATATGGCGTGGTAACGGACGCCCCCCAGGGGGTTCCCCTTCGAGCGGGAAAAGATCGGTCTATTACTGAAAATCATTTTATTGGTAATAAAATTTTTGTCGCCAGCAACGGAACGTCGATACGCCAACGCGACGAAGAAATCCAATTATTTTATCGCGACGGCACGTGTTGACACTCGAACGAGGGGTGGAAGAACCCCTTCGCCCCTGAGGGGTGAGCGCGCGCGACAATGCATTCCGGGCATTCTCAGCCAGACGTTCGCTTTCTGTTTTTCTCCACCCTTCCTCTCGATGACTGATGGAACTTCTGATTTTGCAGACACAGGCTGCGAGTCGGCGAGCGAGAACGTGCCGTTGCAGGGCGCCCTGACCTCGGCGGTGCGAACGTCCGTGGGGATCACCGAGATCTCGCTGACGTCCAGCACCACCAGCAAGACCAATAACGAACAAGTGGCGCAATTGTAGACTACTCTCGTCGTGGCTATGTGAGACACAAAGAGACGCACACAGTGGCACCGTTGGATGTGCGCGTCTGGAGATTGAAATTAGCAAATTGCTAACATTGATATTCCCACAGACTTCTGTATATTAAACCGTTGGTGAGAATTCACGGTAAAATGTGAAGCTAGTAGCCACATTTACTGTGGGATATAATACGTGCAGTGTACAGTAAACGTGTGCGCAGTTCAATCTGAATTATTCTAAATAAATAAATAAAAGGTAACATTGTTGATTTTAAACAAAAATATTGAACAATGCCTTAAATGTTGCATACTGTTGGTAATACATTGAAATTTTACTTCTTGCACTGAGAGAACAATTTTTGGTATTTATTACTATAATTATACGTCACCATAATTATGATTATTACTGATATAATAAATGATTACTATTGTATAGTTCTATCGGCAAATATACATTTATCTATAATCGAAAATAACTATAATAGTTATTATTACCACAAAAATGGTTATAATTTATAGTAAAATTGCAACCATTTTTACAGTAATAATAATATTTACAGTCGTTTTCGCTATCAAATATGTATGTTTATTCGTAAAACTATACACTAGAAAAATGTTTTGTATTGATTATAATTCAAGTAAATTTAATCAGAAAGATATAAATCCGACACTTATAGTTAAATTTATCAAACATTCTAATCGCGAGATAACTAGAACATTTTTCTCAATGTAGTTATTATTCCTAACATGATAACAGTAATATCTGCAATTACGGTAATATAATGTAATTACAATCACAAAAACTTTTCTCTCACAATCAGTAAATAATTTTTATCCCACACTAAATATGATGGCATGGCTTCATTATGCTGCTCTGTTGGCAGTTTAGCATAATATACAGAAGTCTGTGGATATTTCTCGATTTAATTCTAATTAATCTGTTATTAATAATCGAACTGAAATTGGAGGTTCTATATCTGCGAGGACGTTGAGCGTCTCGCGACGTGATTATCATTCGCAGCATCTCTATCATCAATAAAAAAAAAACAAGACAGAGAGAGATGCGTAAATCATCGGTCGTTATCATGTTCGCTGTTGTCGTTATTGTTACTGTTGTCCTTGTGCATAAATTATATATACATATATATATATACACACACACACAAATACAAATACACACCCACACACATACGCATAAAGAAGACACATATACGTACGTGTACGTGCATTTATCGAGCAAGTGTATACCGTGTGACCCACCGATTCTAGTCGAGCACCTCGTGACTTCGTATGATTTCGATTAGGAGCGTTAAACATTCATCTCGCGTCAACTCCGCCTGTTCGTTTAACTCCTAACTTTGTTTATTATCGAACGTTTAACAGGCGACGCAGCCTTTTTCCTTCAATCCCTTTGAGAGCGCCTTCCGATGAGGTAATCGTACGCAATGGACAATAAATAAATGTATTTAAAGCGAGCACAATTAACTTATTCCGGAATATCGAGAATATTAATCGGGAATACATATTGTTTTCGACTCGACTGTTTCTCAGCCCCCTCTTTCCCCTCCTGCCCCCCCCCTTTTCTTACGCATTTTAAAGCGATTCGACTCACGAAAACTGATCGAGTGTTTCGGAAATCGCGCGAAAATTATTACTTCGAATGTTCACCTCTCGTTTTGGAAATATATTACTTGTATCTTTCCGCGATACTAATTAAAGAAAGATTCTTTTTATATACATGTAATCATTCTCTTTTCTCCATTTTTCCTATTACGTCGGATTTCCTATTTCATATAGGATTTTTGAAACGTTTGATCAATTTTGTGAATAATCGAAGAAGAGTGTTACTGTTGTATCGGCGATTAAATCGCTCGACTCTCGCGACCGTCGAAGTCAAAGCGATATTTAAAAAAAAAAAAGAAAGAGAGAAAGAAATACTAATATCTTTTCTATTGTAACGAGCGCAGCGAGAGAAGAGAGAGATAGATCGGATCTGGAATAAAACATTATTGAATGGCGTGTCGGAGAGTGTGTGATTCATTCTCACCCGTTATCCATCTTCCCTGAAAACCGATATAAATTCGGCGAGTTCAATTTCCTTCGGACTCTCGGGAGAAAAGTAAACGTTCGCCGCTACCCTACATTGTCTTTCCTAAGAAATTAGGTGTAACGATCGGTGATTGGCAGACATAAGTGCGAAACTCGACAATTTCGATGCCAATGGTGATTTTTATAGCGTTTCAAGAAAGGGATGGGCTAAACGGTTATTTAAACAGTTATTATCGGTTATATAAACGATTATTTTATTATAATACCCTATATCCTAGTCAGTAGTCATATTTTTTGGATTATTTCTCATTATTTAAGTCATTTAAGGAATCTATTTTGAAATATTTTATTATTTAAGATATTTGTGCAAACAAATAAATTTATGCACAAAGATTGATGTCAATATAATTATTAATTAATAGCCCCAAGTTCATTCTATGCTGCAATGTGTACGGCTATATTTCAATTGAAAAATATCAATACGATTAAAAAATAAAATATAATAATTGAAAGGAAAAAGAGAAAAAAATCATTAAAAAAATTTGTATTTACTTACAAAATTTAAAATTTGAAAATAACCGTTTAAGTTCGATAACGTTATTTTTTAAATTGGATAACAGTCACTAAAGTTATAGATAACGAAATAACGCTCATCACTATTTCGAGATGTTTATTAGCATCATTAATTATTAGCATTCTTAAGACTTAAGGATATTATATTATTCCTATTGTATTTCGAAATTAACTAATTAATTTTTTTTTTCAATAAACGACGCGTGATGGTAACAAGTTACTCTTCAAAACTGACTTTCCCAACCTTAACTTTTAGTTATCGTTACCGTCATAAAAATTGCAATGTTATTATATCAAACTATCATTATAAAAAGTAACGATAAAAGTAACAGCGTTACTTCCACTCCTGCTAAATTATATATTAATTTTTAATTGTATAATTAACTTTTAATTATACTTTGCAGCATTTTTTAAGTACTCGATCGATTCTTCAACGACACTCATTCATGATCGCGCGTAAACTCTTTGAGTGCCGATCGCACGTTACATTTTGTCAACAACTTGTGTAACGCGCTTCGCTTCGTTCATAAATATGAACGAACGCGCTCCTTCTACCTCATTCGTGACGCGAGTCATGATAACTGAGTGTCGTTCGATAATACGAATATTTCCGAACTTTCACGATCCGAGTTGTACTCCGGTTGTTTCTCCATATTCTCATTATTGCTTTATATTCCTTTTCGATCGGACGGATGGCTTTTTCTCTTTCCTGGCAGTTGCTGACAGCCGCGCGATTGGTAGGTATTATAAAATATACAATTATAACAAAAGTGTGACAGCTGCTGGATGTGATAGAATTCTTCTTCTTCTTCATTGGTAAACTTTAATAGAAATTGCTTCCGTATTAAATATACAGCTGATTTTCAGTTTCTCGAGTGGGACCCAAGAAATATACCTTAAGTCGAAAGAAAGTTAAAAGGACTTTATTTTGATGTTTTGAAAGTCAAAATGGTGACTTTTGGTTACACAATTTGACTGTTTGTTGACGTTAAGAATCAAAATAAAGTTATTTTGATTTCTTATTGACTTCTGTGCGTTCCTTGTCTCTCCATTATATTAGAACGCGCCACGATCGTTGTTATCAACAGGCCGCGCGCCGGATTGAACTTTGACACTGACGCTGCAAGTGGTCACGAAAGCGACTTTTGCATGTCATGAGAATGAATAAAAATCTTCCTGTAAGGACCACTGTCACCAAGCCCAGTTGATCTAACTAGGCCAGTTAGTCCATCGAAATTGACCAATCGCATTTGTCACTTTTTGTTTGAAGAATTGACAAATTGGTCAATTCCGATGGATAATTGGCCCAGTTAAGTTTACTGAGCTTGGTGACAGTGGCCCTTAAATTAACTAGCAGTAACATTACGTCATTATAATTCCCCGCTCAGTAATACATATACAGTGCAATTATTGAATAATTAATGTACCCGATAAGTACAAGAATTGGTAATTGAGCTATAAATTGTATTTATTCAAATTTTTCACGTTAAAAAAGTATGTATTTATATGTTCTTTAAAAACTGTGGGTATTCAAAAGTATTTATTCACGAAAATAGAATTATTTTATATTCATAATAGAAATATTTATATTCATTTAAAATATAAAATGTAAATTAAAAAAGAAAATGCCAATAAGCAACCATTGCCTTTTAACTATAACCAACACTTTGATGATTCTAAGCGATCAGATAATAATATATTGTTAAATTTTTTCTTTATAAAATCTGTACTTTTTAGTTGGACCTGGAAAACAATACAATTATGATAATGATGGTTTTATTACGCGCATATTATTCTTTTCATTCCCACACGAATGTGGTTTTCTCGAAATTAATGTTAATTGAGAAATTGGATCCAACAGAAACATATGAATAATGAAACACTTTATGTAATTAAAGAAAAGAGCTTATAAAGTTTAAAGTGTGAATATTATTCCTCTACCGGTTTTATTGTTTTACAAATTTCCGTTATTCTATGTTGATAAGCTAAAGGCAGATAATGCAAAATACGAGTGAATGCGAAGTCAAAAATATTCGCAGTTATACTCACAAAAATATTCATTCAAATCGAACGAAAAGTATTTATTCTTTTCTCGATAAATATAAAAAAAAGTGTATTTATATTCATATTCATATTATTCATTCATTTATTCGAATTTTGGATATTTGTTGAATACACTAAGTACATTAAGTAATTATGATGTAGTTACAACATGCATTGCATTATTTATATTGTTGAGTGGGAAATTATAACCACAATAATCCACTAATAATTTATTAATTGCAATTATTAAATTATTAGTTAGCTCGTGCTGCTGTAAAATCATAAGCAAAAATGATGGTCCGAAATGATTATGTAACTCACAAGGACAAAACTAATTTATACGTGTGTAATTTTTATTGAATTTGGAACGCTATAATAATGAATTGTTTGATATTATAGTGAGATTCGTTCTGCTGGCAAAATAGAAAAATTTTGCCGAATAAATTTGTTCACAGAAACACGTCGACTTGTTAAAGCAAACAGTTTGTTTATTTAATAAAGCAAACAGCGTATCCGTAGCAAATGCATTTTGCCGTTACAATAAAATCGTGTTGCTGATAAAACGTCGGTATGAAAATAAACAATATTGGAGACCAGAAAATGAAGAAATGGAAGAGTTTCGTTATATATTGTAACGGAATAATTTGCAACACTAACGGGGCTGTGTTTCAGCAAATAAAATCAGTTTTCTCAACAAATATTATATTTTTGCCATCTATATAATAACTAAAATTGCTAACGAAAAATTTATTATATATTTAATTTATATAAACATTTAAATTTGCTACACGTTTAATTTATATATAAACATTTAAGTGTTTGCTGTATCGAAAAATTTTTTTCCACATAGAGAAAATTGGATAGAATATTTTTTTCTTAATTGAGGGAAAAGTCGAGAATCGTTAACCCGAGAATAGTGACCCAGTTTTTTGATGCGTAAACGATCGAATATTTTTTACATTCCAATTAAAAATCACTATTATTAACTACAACTGTATATTGTTGATTTTTCTACAATTTATTAGTATTTAGGAACATTACATATATAGATAGATTTATTTAACATTTTCTAAAAAAAAGTAAAGAAAAATAAAAAAATAAGTATTGATTCTCAATGAGTAAAGAAAACTATTGACGGATTCCATTTTCTCGCTACTGGGATACAAAAATCTCAGATGATTATTCCTAGGCTAAAGAAAGAAATGTAACAAAGGAACAGCTTGTACAAACGAGTAAAGCAATAAATCAACAGAAAGGGAATGAAAATACATTACTGTAAATACAGCAGCAAACTGTCTTCAAACCGGAGCACTGTATATTTATTCCATTCTAATCGGTTAGAGTATATACTTCAAGTAATTATATAATTGTTATTTCTATTCCCCATCTTTACTGTGGTCTACATTATTTTGTCGTATTATTTCATAAGATTTTTTTTAACATTTTTAATATGTACCTCGTATTTTTCTTTAATTTAATTTAATTTACTTCTTGTCAGATACTGTACGTATATTTATCAAATACGGTATGTATCTCACTATTATTCTTCTATAGCCAACGACGTGATTGTTTTTATTGCTTTTATTGTTGATGGAACTTTTACCGTCGACGAAACTTTTGTTTGCATAGGCCGAGCGATCGCGCGACCCAATACGACGACTTTTGTCTGTCAGCTCGTTCCTCTTTGGCAAAAAAGTAGTACCTTTCAAATTGTCAGACATCGGCGAGGGAATTCGAGACGTCACAGTGAAAGAATGGTACGTGAAAAGTTTGATAGGACCTGTGGCAAAATATTTCCTCTCACATAAATACAATATATATATTAAAAGATGCAACGTTTATCCGGCTTTAAATGTGGGAATCCCTGAATTTAAGTTTCAGCTTTTAAATCATCCTTTAAAAACAATTATTATGTAGTCGATACAATTAACTGAAAATAACATAACTTTTTATTTGTGTCGACTGGATAATAATTGTTTTTTAAAGGGTGGTTCAGAACTTTTTTAACAACTCAGTAATTAATTGGTGTTTTTTAAAATCAACCATCCAAAATATTTTCACCTTCCATACTGAATTTGGCGAAACTTCTCCTCAGGTTTGTGAAACCGGGAGATCAGGTGAAGCAGTTCGATGACATCTGTGAAGTGCAGAGCGATAAAGCCTCGGTGACAATCACGAGTCGCTACGATGGCCTGATCAAGACTCTGCACTACAAGGTTGACGACGTTGCGTTGGTCGGATCAACGCTGTTGGACTTTGAGGTAGAGGACGACTTAACAGACGCCGTGAGAGACGATGCAGGCGAGATTGCAAAGAGCGCAGAAAATCAAACGACTGACAATTCAGAAAAAAGCGAAAGAAGACCAGATAAGGTAGAATTGGAAGACATCACCTCGAAAGAAGAGAAGATATTGGCAACTCCAGCGGTGAGGAGGATAGCCAAAGAGAATAACATAAAGCTGACGGATGTAAAAGCGACCGGCAAAGATAGAAGAGTGCTCAAGGAAGACATACTGGCACACCTGCAGAAAATTTCCGCGGATCCGAGAGTTAAGGTGGATATTCCATCGAGCATGACGGGAAGAACGGTCGGTCTTAAAGGATACACGAAACACATGTGGAAAACTATGACGAAATCTTTGGTGAGTCTTCGAGAAGATGAAGAAATAGCTGCAATCTTAAAATACAGTAACTAGTAAATATAATTTTTTTAGAGCTTAATTTTTTTAAACTTCAATCATTACATTTAATTTAATCTGTATTTAATATTCTATTCATTTAATATTTAATACTAATTTCATTACTTCTGTATTAATATTCAATGATTTTTTTTTATAATACTGTTTAAACTTCTCTCCCTCCCATTTTCAATCTTTCAAATTTAATTTTCTAGTACACAATCTTTCCAATTAAAAAAAATTAATTATACTTACAATTTCTATCTTTTAATAAATTTTTTCTTTTTTGTTTTCGTAATAACAAATTACGCCGTTTATGAGTTATCTTGATATCGGTGTCAACATTTCGTGAATTACAATTCACTTCATCAGGGGGAGAAGCAACTTGATACTGAGTCTCTTCTGAGTCGCTTCTCTGGGGCGACTCCTTTTTATATGCTGTTGAAATATAAGAGGATCGGAGGGGGAAGGGGAAGTCGCTGAGACTGTAATAAAAGCGATTACTTTCGGCCGATCAATTTCCGAAAACCGAAGAATGATCTTTCATTTACAGCCTTTGGCTCTGTTTACGTTATCGGAATGTTTCCTTAGAGTCTCTCTGTCTTTTCCTTAAAAAATATGAGATGGTCGTTTGTGGCGGCTATTGTGGTCAATATCTATAGATTGAGTCACATCACCATCCAGCACAAAACCAATTGGCAATCAACTCACTTGTATACAGCATATTAGACAAAGAATCTATAGACAAAACTCAATCATTTGAAACAAGCCTAACAATAAAACCGACACAACAAAAGGACATAAATAAAATAATCATCTACATGCTGAATCATATTATCACCCAACATAAAAATAGTCAGTAATCAACTATACATAATAAAGCATCATATCAGACGAATAACACCTATAAACAAAATTTAACCATTTAAACCAACAAAACGGATACGACAAAAAATATAATAATTAAGAGTTTAAAAAATATAAAATAACAATCAACAGACTTAAAAGCAAGGCGACAAATTCCGACACAAAGTCATCACACGATAAGGCAGACAAGAGAATCTTTCCTGGTCTCACGTGTAGAAGGAATTGTATCGGAAGAATCTTAAATAAGCACAATATCCGAATCGTCTTCAAGCTTGCAAAAAAGACAGGACAAATTTTGAGGAACTGTAAAGGCCAAAGACTTCCACTTAGTTTGGCAGGAATATATAAAATACCTTATTTTTGAAAAAGAAAGTGTATATTGAACAGTTACCAACTCTGTTCGAAAGTTATTTCTTATATTGCGATTTTATCAATATCTTTTAGCTGCAATTTGAATTTTTTTTGTATTTATTTTCCTCTCCAAAAGTTATCTTGAAACTCTTCGAAACTTTTTGTACCCAAAAAAACAATTCTCGGTAAAAAGAAAAAACCTCCAAATATATAGTAGAAATTCTACTAAATTAGCAACACTAATATTGGAGAAAAAGGAAAAATCTACGGATGAAAGAACATTAATGTAATGTCAGATTAAAGCATATCATATAGTCAGCATTATTCTAACATAATATTAAGACAGGACATCAAATGCTCGAGCAAACAATCACAATAGCTATCACCACTTCATATTTTCCAAGGAAATACAAAGAAATATAGAAACATCTCGAATCTAAACAGAGACAATAGCTGTAACATAAGTGATATATGAAAAACATCCTCCTGGTTTTTAAAAATTGATTGACCGACAATAATCGACCTCAGTACAGTCACAGCAACCCCTCTTTCCCCCTACCCTTCTTATATATACAGCGTATAAAAAGAGAATCCTCCAGAGAAGCGGAGAGAGAACATAAAGAAATGGATCACAAGAAGAAAACATATCCACTGGGCGACCTATATATAGAAGAAGAGGGAGGAAAAAAGGGCACAGAGAACTTATCACGGTTTTTTACCTTTAAACTGGTGAATCTTACATCGAAGATAAGTTGCGCCATGCCCGAGTATTTTTTTTAATAGAACTTAAATAGTACTTTTTAATGTATGAAAAGATTCCGTATGAAGGAGATTAAAATTCATAAAGAATCCACTATTCTCTCCTTATCAGAATCAGTATTCTCATCCTAATGAAGTAAATTCATGAAATGTTGACACTTAACGATGTATCAAAAAACGAAAATAATCCATAAACCGCATAACTTCTTCGAAGAAGATACCCGTGGAAGCCTTAAAAATCTCCCAACAAATTATCCAGAAAACAACTTATCTTTATCATGAATTTTTCACAGACAATACCACACTTCGTCTATAGCGATGAGTGCAACGTGGACCAAGTGATGCGCTGCCGAAACGATGTGAAAGACTCCTTGATGGAACGGGGCATCTCTCTAACTCTTATGCCGTTCTTCGTAAAAGCAACCTCGCGAGCGTTGGAACAGTACCCCCAATTAAACGCTTGGCTCGACGAGGAGGCCCAACAGCTGCAGCTCTTGGATAATCATAATATCGGCATCGCCATGGACACTTCGGACGGCCTAGTAGTGCCGAACATCAAGAATGTGCAGAATCTCAGTGTTTTCGCAATCGCGCAAGAGCTGAATAGACTTCAGGAGTGTGGCAGTAAAGCATCGATATCGTACTCACGACGTTTACGTTGTCCAATATAGGCGTGGTAAGTGTGGACACATCAAAAGACAAATTAGTGAATTATAAATCATACAAATTATATATGTATATAATTTACTTTTCGAATATCCTTTCGATCTTGGCATTCTTCTTTGATTCCTTTCTTCCCATTTTCTTTTTTCCTATATCTAAATATTTGTTTCCATTGAAGTACTATTTTTTGTGTCGACTTCTAGATTGGTGGAACGTTTATGAAGCCGGTGATCGTACCACCGCAGGTGATAATAGGTGCATTTGGGAAGGCGCGGAAGTTGCCGCGATTCGACGATGAAGGGAATGTGATTCCAGCTAACATAATGTCGATCAGCTGGTCCGCGGATCATCGCATCGTTGACGGTGTAACGGTGGCCAGATTCTCCAATTTGTGGAAGTACTATGTGGAGAATCCAATGCATCTGCTGATCTGCCCTTGAAGCCTTCTACATATAAACATTGATGTATATTAAGTCCTTATATTGAACGAACTTTTCTACGTATTATTAAAACGAGATTATGAAGATTATAGCGAAACAAAATGTAAAAGTACAAAATAATAAACTGTTTGATGTCAGAGTCACTTTCTCAAGTAAAACTCATCAAGTTTCAGTGCAGAACTAGAAATAAATACTTCCAAATGCCTGGCATATCCCATAAAATATTATAACATGATAAATAATAATCGGATCTCTAATGATTCACAAGTTCCAAAATCCAAGGGTCAACTCATCTAGTTATGAGTTACATTTATTTGTAATCCTAATCTAAAATGAGTCGGAATACATACTACTTATATAAAGTTGAGTATCCATTTTCGGAATCAGTGATTTATAAGCATCGATATCTTTTTTTGAACATATAAATTTGAATTTAATAATGGTTCAGAACTTAGCGTAGTAAAGATTGCGTTTAGCGCAAACTGCCGTAAACATAGTTTATACTAATTCGTAATTTACGTTGATCATAATTTGTCTTTTCATGTGTCTGCACTTACCACGTCTATATTGGACAACGTAAAGGTTGTGTTGCTCAGATCGGTATCGATGACCTGCTGTCACACTCCTGAAGTCTGTTCAGCTCCTGCGCGATCGCGCTGAGGTTCTGCACATTCTTGATGTTCGAAACTAAGCTATCCGGAGTGTCCATGGCGATGCCGATATTATGGTTGTCCAGAACCTGTAGTTGTTGGCTCTTCTCATCGAGCCAAACGTTTAATTCGAGATACTGTTCCAACACTCGTCAGGCTGCTTTTATGAAGAACGGCGTAAGAGTTAGAGAGATGCCCCGTTCCATCAAAGAGTCCTTCATATCGTTTCGGTAGTACATCACTTGATCCACGTTGCTATTCATCACTGTAGACGAAGTGCGGTATACTCTGCGAGAAATTCATGGTAAAGATAAAGTTGCTTTCTGATGGATAACTCGTTGGAAGACTTTTAGAACTTCCACGTATATTTTCTTTAAGAAAGTTACGCGGGTTATCTTCGAGTTTTGATACATTGAGTGTATTAATAATGCAGTTGATTTTTATTTTAGTTACTTATATAAAAATCAACAACGTTATTAACACTTTCGCCATAATTTTTATAATCTCGTTTTAATGTACGAAGGTGAATTCATCAAAGATAATCATGATCAAATAAAAAGAAAAAAATGTATTGTCGGCTTCGTACATAAATATTGTATAATATGTACGTTGAAACCCAGTTTTTTATGTAATTTAGCGATCGACAGGTAGATCTTATATATACGTATAGGCTCAAAATTTGTATCGCAAATTATAATGTTCAGCTTTAAAATTATGTAACTTTAAGTTCCAACGATTTTTCAAGTTGTTATGTTTCTACGAATCTATCACACTAAAAATCATTATCTTACGAAAACTATCTTTGTGAAAGAGAATTATGTTCCTTTACATATCGATATGATTGATATGTTTTATATTTTGTACTATATCTCTATTTTATATTTTAAGTTCGCCATGTTTTGCTATTACTCTACATTTTTCAAGAAGTATCATAACATTAATCTTGTTAATGCCTTAACTTTTGCATGTAATGTGTACATTTCTGTCTTTATATCACTCATCTATCTTGACCAATTTTGTTGGACACAATAAAATTATTATTAGACCTTGAAAGAGCGTTTCAAAAAATGGACATTTTACAATGAAATGTAACGTAATATATGTAAACAAAAAGAAGGAACCTTTTTCACAAAAAAATAAGTTTTAGCAGCAGTCTAAATGGAAATAATATTATTAATTTAATAGCAGTTTTAATGAAGCAACACAACATGCTGTTTAATTATGTTAAAATACTATTATTTCAGAAATACCGTCATTAAATTAGCAAAATTATTTTCAATTAGACTACTATTATAACTAATGCTGTTAACACATCATTTTTTCCCGTGCATGTTTTTATGAAACGATCGAAACATTTGCATCGTTTCTTGATACAGAATTAGTGGAGAGATGCGTGAAACTAGAGACTTGTTCACACACTTTATACGTAAATATTAATTTATTTATTGCTGCACAACCAACTAGGACTTCTCGTTAAAGGTCAGACATCTTCCACTAACATATTCAAAATGCAATAGTAATTGTATATCAGAAGACGTCCGCGCAGTAGAACGTGAGTATCTGTTTGTACATCGATCACCATTACAAACTATAAATTATTCATATGTGACAACCATAATTAACGTACGCTAACGAAGTGGTTGTACCGTTCAGAGACAAATCGTTCTTCGGATAAACGCGGACGTTGCGAAACGTAATACTTAATAAAACGCATTGATCGCTGAATCATCGGAAAAAAAAGAAAAAAGAAAGAAAATACTCTGGCACAAAAAAAAACCGATTCGCTCAGAAATTCGTTCGACACGATAAAAATAAGTAAAGAATTAAAAACACAAAATGTATCGCAAGTAAAATGGTACGACCACTTGATTGCTTTCTCAACGTTTGCTTACATATGCATACAATTAGTCGCTTATTGTATATACACTCATGGGTACAACTCGGAGTTTCAGTCACGCGTTCAATCTTAGATTCGCAATTCACTCCGATCAATAACGATAGCGAGCGTCGCTTATAATACGGCGTTTCCGTGCGGGATCCGTATTCGTTCGACATATAATTACCGCGAGATAATTAACATAAAGCTTCGGAAAATATTCTCATCTCAGAGATCGAATTCACAAACGCGGTTTCAATCAATTTTATGAAACTTGTCTCTACCAATCGCTCGGGGAGGCGATTATTAAAACCACGTCCCGGTCGGAAACGCCGTTAAACATGTAACAGGTATCCAAAAGGTAGTCAGTCTGTTTAGTTTAGAGTAGTAGAAAAGAGTACATATGTATGTTCGTGGTCCATGAAAGTGGAAACTTCTCCGTCAGCCAACACGTACCTTATCCCGTCCCTCTGAAACATTCTAGTATGATTCTTAGGCTGATCGAAAAAGCGCTCGTCCTTGTCTCTTTGTAGAATAGAAATCGATCGAGGGGACGGGCGAATGTTTTGATCAACCCAAGTATATTCCTTCGCGTTTCTACGGAATTAAATGTAGCAACAGAATGAGAAGAGCAACGAGCTAATGCTGTGTGAGAACTAATCGCGCGAGAACCTATAAGTAAGAAAAAGGAAGAGATTCGCTAAGAGCCTTTGATATAATCAGATTGATTGGAAGTTCAGGCTATTGTTAACGACACTGACAGACGTAAGACGCAACGCAAAATGAAATTGTATCGATATGAGTAGGCGAAGAACAACTAACGTTTGCTATCGGGTTTGACTAGGTACGAATAATCCTACTAACTCCCGACGCGGAAATCGAAATACGAAACGGCTTCTTTGATCGGTACACGGCTTACGTGAACTTACCGTAAAACCTTATAATACATAACACCGACGAATGAAGATACAAATAGACAGACACTAACTTAGTAACAACAATTAATTACCTAACACCCAGTCCCAAAATACCCACGATATCTTTCCTCTGTAGTCTAATTGATCTTTTGATCTGACATTCTCGATCGCCAGGACTTTTTGGATTCGCAATAAAAATAGACATCCTCATCCTGATCTCTGATTAACTATATTAAATGGCTTGACGTTAATAATATTAAAAAAATAAATTATACTAGAGATTGATAAACAGAGAGTCATTTGTGTTTACCTTAAAAATAAAAGCGATATTCCAGAAACTTGTGGAAGAAATCTTTAACAGAGGAAAGATGCGGAACGCCAGGACGTACATAGTCTTGCATTCACACCGGTTTAGATTATAACAATACGCTCAATATATATATAAACGCAACATACATATATATATAACCGAATAACGATTTTTATTTGTGCTACCATTTTTCAGTCCTACGCTCTTCTTGTCCTCCTCTCCACCGCGACTCTTCCTCTTATCACTTTTCTTCTATCGACATGACGTAGAAAAACGTCTTATCTCGCCCGTCGATCGGCAATATCACGCTCGACTAACAATCGTCGCGGTGGACATTCTCTACGAAAGGTACAAGTTTGCTCCTTCAATGGGATATCAACGGAAGAAACGCGAGTAATCGCCAAATTAGTCGCGTTGGTTCCGAAAGGCGTTTCGTGGTCTCGACAGTCTAAGAACATTAATGATAAAAAAGATCGAGTAACGGTACACGTACACATTCATTTGACATCCTTAATCATTGGCGCGAGTAGGTGAAACTTTTATAAAATTAACGTGTATTCGTACATCTATAAAATAATAACCATCGTATACATATCTAATAAAGACACAACTCTCACAATTTATAAACGTCTGTACATTATCCAATTAATTTACTCATTGGTAATTATTTAGAATGCGGGTCCTACTCTAAAATCTTAACAAAAATGTACCCATTCGACGCCAGATCCTTTCATTTTGCACTCAAAATGAAAGGATCTGGCAAAAAAAATGCGGCGGTCGGCCTCGTGAACCGAGATATTAAGCGTTAAAGTTTGATATTTTAGAGATTAAGATATCTGTCATTCTGACGCGCTGCAGCGCTACGTAAGATCTGTTCTTTTTCGAAGAATTCTGAACTAGTTCTGAAATAGTGCAATAAGTTACAGTGAAACAAACTAACTACGACTGTCTCACTCTAACTTATTGCGGTGGTCACGTGTCCAATTAATCCTAAATCCTGATCAATTAATTCCTAAAAATAAATATTCTCTACTTTAATTACACAAATTCACTGCTTTAAAAATTAATACAAATTCATTGCTTTAAAAACACAAAATTATTGCCTTAAAAATACAAAAGCTTGCTTTAAAGACACAAAAGCACTTTAAACACACAAATTCATTGCATTAGCAGTGAATTTGTGTTTGTGAAATAGAGTTTGTCTAATTAACGCAGAATGTATGCATAACGTTATATCGAGTGGAGATGATTTTTTTGCCAGATTCTTTCATTTTGAGTGAAAACGCGTTGAATAAGTACATTTTTATTAAGATTCTAGAATAAGACCCGTATTCTAAATAATTATCACATGTTAAAAAAAATATTCTTTTACATGAGGTCTGTTCTTTTTCCACCCCAAGTTCTGAATTGGTAAACATTGGTGCAATAAGTTAAAGTGAGATAGATATAGTTTGTTTAACTTATTGCACCAGTTCAAAACTAGCTAAGAATTCTTCGGGGAAAAAAAAACTATGATCTTCAAC